AAGTTTGCTTTAATAATAGTAAGAATATCAGTGTTTTAAAATACACGCATACTTTGCATATGAAGTGTGCGCGCTAAATAAGTTGACCGTATATGCATGCTTAAACCCAAATGGGCACGCATTTGTGTTAAAAATTGTGCCAAAATTAGCTTAGCAAAATCGAATCCATTTTTATAACTTTAAAAAAAAAAAAGTAAATTAAGTCTAACAAACATCAAATTAACTCAAATCGCCCAAATCCATGAATTATATATACCAATCTATATGGTTTTGATATTTAAAAAAAAAAAATCATAGCACATTTTTCGTAGTGTTGCAAACTACCTAAGTCAAGTCTGAGCCTCCTTCTTCTTCAATTTTTCTTTAATTTTACTAGCAAGTGATGCTAATAATGAACAATCTTGAATTATTGATGGTTGTAATGATGAGGATGATGTCATAATGATATCCTACCATCTACAAAAGGTATTAGGAATTTTCGAATTGAAATAAGGGAGCTCGATCAAGATGATTTTACATACGTGAAATATGACTTCAATAAAAAGGAGTTTGAATTAGAAACTAATAAAGAGTTAGAAAATATTTAGAATTTTGTAAGTCGATGTACGTGTCTAATCTAATTGTAAAAATTGATTACTAAGTAATTGTTGTATTTGTGATTTTGATTAATATTTTTTTAAAAAAAATGAGAATATATATTGTTTTAAAAAATGCATTATTTAGAGTATGTTTGATTCTCATTATTTATAAAAAAAATGCATTTTGGAATAATGATTTGATGGATAATGTGTAGTTAAAAATGAAAGAAAATTTTTAAATTTGCGTATAATATTATTTTATTGAAAAATATATGATTAAAAATAAAAGAGGGAAAAATGTATTCTAAAAATAATGAGTACCAAATGAGGGCTTAATATATTTATTAGTTCAGAATATTTAAAATAATATTAAAAATTGAAAAATGCATAATGCTTAGCATAAACAAACTATTCTCATAATGTTTGATGCTCGACCGTAACGCATTGTTATATATTACGCATTTAAGAACCTTAAAGAATACAGACGAATCACCTGGCAAAAAAAAAACTTGTTTTTTGTGATCCATTATTTAGATTTGTAATCTTCTCTCTAAAAACTTTGCTTTAACAATAGTTAAAACACAGATGAATTGCCCTGCGAAAAGAAAAAAACATGTTTTTTGTCTTTCATTATGGATTAATGTCACCATTTTAATATTGTTTCATTCCTTTCTTTTTCGATTTTTAATCTTCTTTCGGTGATCCGCTTGCTACAAACTTGAAATTAGAATTCCTATTTTACTATTTTAGTTGAATTGATGATGTTTCCAAAAAATAAAAAAATCAGGTACCATACGCCACCTCCCACCTAGGAGGACCCACCTAGTGGTGGCGAGAAAATCATGAAAATTCGTAGCCATTGTTTAACAACCATTATTTGGGAAAAATCATGACTTGAATAGTAATTTTAAAAGAATATGTGGTTAAAAAGTAGAGAATTTTGTGCTTACGTGCAAATATTTTAGGGAACCACTATATCATTAAATAAATATATATCGTTCTAAATTCATCAACTGATATTTATTTTCATTAAATTCTTTTAAACCTTTTTATATTCTTTTAAAATTTATGTTTAAATAAAACTCTAATAATTATAAAATATCATCTTTAACTAAAATCATAAAACCCTAATAATCATAAAATATATTCTTCAACTAAAATCATTAAACCCTAATAATCATAAAATATCATCTTCAATTGAAATCAAAACAACAATAGAAGGATTACCATTAGAGAAAATACACGAAGACATACATGCAATATATAAGAAGAATTTAAAAAAAGTAAAAATTGTGTTTTATTGTGAATTTGATAGATTTAGTATTATCATTACAGGAAATGCATGAAGACAAATTTCATCAGTTTTTATTTTTGTTTTGGAAAAACAAAATCAAGTCAGAAGTTGGGAGTCTTGTCCCTCACCATTAATGACTTTTAGCTCTAAAGAAAAGTACAGCCTTCTCAATTACTTTACATTAAAGTTTCATTATGTTTTTGAATTTTGAAATTGTATCATGGATGTATTTAGAGTGGGATGAATATAAAAAATTTGTGTGGATTTATGTCGTTTAAATGAATAAATTTAATAAGGATAGTATTGAGTGGGATGAATATATAATAATTATGAAAATAAATAGCGATACCCATGCTTTACTGTGTAAATGTATGATTACAAATGAGTACCTAGAAAAAAGAATTTTCAAATAATGATCGTCAAATAAGGCCTCACTTGTTATTTATTCTTTTTTTTCTTATTTTAGTTGCTTTAGTTTTCTTTTTGTTTATTTAAGTGGAAGGGTAAAATTGGTTTTTTTTTACATAATTGCGAATTATTAATTTTTTGCAAAACCCCTATTCGGCCTCCATTTTATCTAAAATGTATTTTTCTACCTCTTCTTTTTAATTGTACATTCTCCAATAAAATAATATGACCCAAAAAAATTTCTCTTTTTTAACCACATATTCTTTAAAAAAAAATCATCATTTCAAAATGCATTTTTCCTCAAAAATACATTAAAACGGGTCTCAAATAAGGGTGAAGTATATTAATTTCTCAAAAGTTTGGGACAATAAAAGTTGACGGCATATCCAATGTTTTACTCAAAGGTTGGACATGAATAATTCAATTTTTTTCATTTATATTTTTGATTGTACTTAAAATTATACTATACCTAAAATTCTTATTTGGATATTCAATTATTCTTCAGATAACTTACTTATTTCCAATAAATTGTGCAAAAATTATACATTTTTGCTTGAAAGATAGGCTCTTGGATTCTGGATATTTATGTAATGTTGTTACACCTCTTAGCTTCAGATCAACACCACACGATAGTCAACTAGCAAGTCAATGAGTCTCACACTCCACATTATCTTCATACCTGATCGAGATAAGGCCATATACAAGGTAGCTGATGTGATGCATCAATTCCGCCTAGGTGTCATGTAGAGGCCAACCCTCCATGACCTAGATGAAGTGTTACGCGTACTGCAGGGAAGAAATTCGAGACAATTAGTATCTTCATTTAGGGGAAGCATCTCCAAGCTCACATCTTTCAAGAGATTTTCTGTACAAAATCTTCATACGATTAATTGATGTGACAGCTCTGCAGCAAGCGTCTAAATGTCAAATAGTCAGTCTAATATTCAGATGTCTGACCTAGGCCCCATTTTTCAAAAAATATTAAATGTCATTAGCCTATGATTGACAAATTGATGCCTAGGAGGAGACACCTCTTCCATCAAGATGAGCCCACTTATCTTTTTATCCAATTGTCAGTATTTCATCATTTCTACTATAAAAACTCACACTTAGTGTGTCATTTGAAGGTAATACAATTTTATATACAACTATAACTTTGCTCTCACATTATTCTCATTGTTTACGTACTCGTGGATCCGACCGTCTTACATTTAGTAGCTCAAGTTTCAAGCATGTCACACACTCACTATTGATATTGATTGACTTGACCGTCGGAGTGCTTAAGAGCATCTCCCTTACCTCCGAGAAAGCCACGTACAACTCATGATTTGCCCAAATATGCAGGAGCTAGGCTAGGTTGATGTGAGTGGAGTCGGGATCTATTGAACACGTTACTCCTACAAAAAGCAAAGTCAACAATATGAAAAAATTCATGTTGAATAAAACTTAAGAGAGTTTTAGTTTATTTTATTATATTTTTGAAAATAAGAGAGTTTTGCAGGTTGTTTGCAAGTTGGTTTGAAAGTTGTAAAATGAATAAGCTTATCTTAAATTAACAAGGGAAAATTGCATTTCCAATTTTTGGTATTTATTCCTAATTTTTTTTTGTATTGGCACCATCCATTCCTAACTTGTCAACTAATTAGCAAGGTTCATTCCCATATTCACAGAATTCTTCCAATTGTTAGGATCGCACACAAAAAAGTTTGCCCCTCCACTTTATACAATTAAAAAAAAATCTGTCTAAATTTTTTTGAAAAATAACAAAAATACCCAGCCCCAGAATCATTCATTCACTTCACTTCACCAACCACCCACGTTTCATAGACACATCTTCACACCGTTCGGGTTTAAAAATTACCCACTAATTGGATTTTTTTGATTCACTAGTCGATCTAGCAACTCGAAGAGTTAAAACAACTTTTTTTCTATTCAAACTTGTGATTCAACAATTACTAGTCAAATCAACAATTACTATTCACACACGTTTAGTGCCCTGCATCATGGTGTGTGTTGATTGGCGAATGTAGGGGGCGGCCTATTCTTTAGCCAAGTCGGTCCCAGTCTATTAAATTTTTTCTATGTATAAAAAAATTATTCGGAAAACAAAAAAGTTCGTGAAAATTTATTTATTTTTAATTCAGTCCTAAATTCGTTTCTGGATTGTTGTAAGTGATAATATAGTAGATGCTCAACTACAGATTCTGATGGGATGTTCGATTTCCTTATCGATATTGATCAATTATCATGTAACGATCAGATCTTATCATCCCTTCCCAACGTTACTTCCAAAAGCTTGAGTCCAATCGGATTTTATAACAAGTTGACTTGCATGCCACGGCTTCGTCATTCACCAAAGCCAAAAGCCCAAAAGTGTCCAACCATATCAAAATGAAAGTCAAAAGCAACAAATCATCACCAAATTATGAACAAACTTCAACTTCATGGATCCCACTTTTCACTCCGTTCCCCATACCTCTGTGTGTATGTGTGTGTATATACGGAAAAAGTGTTATCAAATTCATATAGATGCTGACGTGATGACTGATGAAACCTGATTTGCCTTTTTTTTCATCTTCCAATGATTCCACGCTATATATTATTTGTCAAAATTTTCTGTTAAAATTTTTTTTACTTGTTGCATGATTGTTTATATACGTACATTCCAGGTCTGTATATATACACATAGAGCACCAAGAAAAAACCTGAGAACTCTCATAATGTACTGCAATTATGGCGTTTCACTACCCAGTAGCGATCGCCTCCGCATCTCCTTCCTCCCATCAACCCGACCTGACCCACTTCCCAAAACTATCTCTTTTCCCACCTCCATAGCCTTCCGGGTCGGACACGGTCGAGCCATTAAACTCGTTAAATCCACCGGTAACGATACACATTCTCTCTCCTCAGAGCATCCCTCCAGTTTCTACGACTTATTTGGCATACCCGAGACGAGCACTTTGATTGAGATCAAACAAGCGTACAAGCAGATGGCCCGGAAGTACCACCCGGATGTATCCCCGCCGGGTCGGATGGAAGAGTATACTCAGCGATTCATTCAGGTACAGGAAGCCTACGAAACGCTGTCGGATCCTGGAAGGAGAGCGTCGTACGATTTAGACATGGCTAAGGGACTTCATCTTGCATTCTCTACCAGGAGGCGTTCGAAATTCGACGAGGTTCGTTCACTTTTTCGTATACCAATGGTCAGATTTATCATCATTGCCGGACATGCTTAAAAATGACATTTTTAACTTATTTTTAAGCATGATCAAACAAACTTGAGAGGGTTAAATTCACTTATGGTCACCCAACTTTATAGTTGGTGTCACCATGCCACCCAATTTGATTTATTTCACAAAAGCCATCCAATTTCATATAACGGTTCACTACGGCCTCTCAATTTTATATAACATTTCATCATAGTCACTCAACTTCTTTTTACTATTTTCATTAATTTTAAAAGGGGTAAAACGATAATTTTGCATTATATACATTAAACAAATTTTTAAAAAAAAACAAAATAAAAACTTTTATAAAAAGTTAATTAAAACAATAAAATAAAATAAAAACTTATTGAAAAAAGGTTTTTAAAATAAAATAAAAACTTATTTTTTTAAAAAAGTTACTTGGAAAAATAAATTAAAATAAAAAGTTATTTTAAAAAATAAATAAAATAAAAAATTATTTTAAAATAAACATTTTAAGTTTTTTTTAAATAAGTTTTTATTTTAATTTTTTTTAAAAATTTTTTTTTTATATATATAATGTAAAGTTACCTTTTTACTCCTTTTAAAGTTAATGAAAATGATAAAAAGAAGTTGAGTGGCTGTGGTAAAATGTTATATGAAATCGGGTGGCCTAGTGAAATATGAAATTGGATGGCCTTCGTGAAATAAAATCAAATTGGGAGACTATGGTGATATTAAATATAAAGTTTGGTGGTCATGATGAAACAAAATCAAATTTGGTGGTCATCGTTATTGGAAAATTGGTTTTATTAGTTGGTTTGACTAATTATTTCAGTAGGTCTCGTTAGTTGGACAAGATATTTCTTTGGCCGAATGTGTTATACTCTATGAGTAGATCAATATAGTGTATTTATTTTCTCAAATCCAATTTAGGATAAATGAGAAATTAAGATCAAAAGATGACTATTTGAAGTTGAAATAAAAAATTGGTGGGAAATTGGAAAAGTGTCAATCATATATAGGAAAGTTAGAAGAATATAAACCATTTTATATTGCTCAAGTTTGGGATTTGGTTTTGGGCCCCAAGAGGTACCAATAGTCTTTAAAGGGGAAAGAACCTACATGCTAGTAGGTTGGGTCAAAACCCACACGTACGAGCCGCCGGCCGGCTCGGCAGGGCACGGGCCAAGCTTATATATATTTTTGATAAAATAATATTTGATTTATATTATTTTATTGTTATTTAAAATAATAATATATTTATTTTATATTATTACTTTTCCCAGATTTTTCTGTGACTGACACGTGTATTCTTCTAGAAGGACGGTTGGTGATTGCTGTCCAAAAGGTTTGTGTCTGTTGAAGACACAACTTTCCGGCTGTTGTGTCTTTTGGACACAATATTTCAACTTCTATAAATAGGTCCACATATCATCGGTTTCATTCACTTAAAAATAAATTCTGATTTAATTCATCTTCCGATATTATTCATTCATCCATGCATTATTCATATTTTGCAATCAAACCGCGCAAAATTATTTTCGTACATTTTAGTCATTCACATTGTAGAGCGATCAAAACATTAGTAGGTTTGTCGGGACTTGTAATTTGTAGTGCTACTATTATAAATCGAGGTCGTTGTATCTTGGGAGACGAGTGCCGGAATACCGCCAACATTAGTGTGGGGCATTATCGTCTTAAAGAGAAAGAGTCGAACTCTTGCCTCGACAACATCGCATTCATTTTTTTACGACGTTATTCTGTCTAACTTAAATCTCGGTGATATCATTACTTGCCTAATTCTAACAATGGTGACACAAAATATAAAGTTGGGTGGCCACCAGTGAATTTAACCCAGCTTGAGATAATTGTTTTCAAAAATATTTGAAAGCACCTACCTATTTTAAATGAGAGGTTTTAATATTGCATAGTATTCTTTAGTTTATGGTCTATGGAAGCCTTATTTTTTAAATTAATTGATTTGTTAAATCTTTTATGGGTAGTTGTAATTTGGCGGGCAGTGATGTCTGTTGGTGGAAAAATACATAAAAAGCGTGTTTACTGATGCAAGAATTCTGGCAGAGTAGAATATTTAGAAAGCGCATTTGGTCTTTCCATAGAATTCCTTTCTTTTGGTAGGTGGATAGGAAAAATAGTCTCGGGCGTATGTTGAAATTTGGTGATTTTAAGAGTTGGACAAAAATTGATTTGTTTGGAAAGTGTGAACACGATCTAAATAGAAAATATGATGTTGAAATATACTGAAGTGTACGCATGCTGATGTACGACATTTAGCATTGCTCGGTTTAGAGTCACAAAATTGAATTCAAGATGTACGAAAAGTAAAGTATATAGAGAGAGTTGATGTTTTCAATTCATTCTATTTTCAATTAAGAATACTGAGTGTCTTGCTTTTACAATTTACATTTGATTATTGTTAAATTGTGTCTTACTAGGCTTGTTTTACTGTAATTACAGCAAAACGAAGAGAAGTGCAAATGGAAGACACGATGGCAATCTCAACTATAATATGTCGTGAGCAACACGAATACGTTGTGGATGTAATAGAATGTGTGGTTGAAAATAACTTTTTTTAAAAAATAATAATAATAATTTTTAAAATTTTATGCCAAACAAGGCACATTTAGCATACATAGGTAAGCTACCTTAGAAACCAAGAAATCGTACCACGAAGACTATTATCTAATAAAACTCAGATGAGTAAGGTAAGTTGTATAAGGTTTGATTTGGTACTTTCTTGTTTTAAGATAATTAGCTTTTACTTTGTTGTAAAGAGATTAAGCAGCGAGAAGAATCAATTAATTGTTTAATAAATTTTTGTCTCAAAATTATTATATGTTTTAGAATTAACATTTTAGAATTTGGGACTGTGATTGCAATTAGTTTTTTCTTTTTCTTTTCTTTTTATTTAAATAGAGGAATATATTCGTCATTTCATAATTTTTAATTGAGAAAATATGTGAAAATGACCTTTTTGTTCAATAAAATGTGAAAATAAGAGTGAAATGCTAAAAAAAAAAAAAAGGGTAGTGAGATTTTCCATAATAAAAATAAAAAGTTGGGACGTTATATGCTAATTACCCAAAATTGATTTGTTTGGAAAGTGTGAACACAATCTTAATAGAAAATATGATGTTGAAATATACTGACATGTACACACGCTGATGTACGACATTTAGCATTGCTCGGTTTAGAGTCACAAAATTGAATTCAAGATGGACGAAAAATAAAGTATCTTGAGAGAGAGTTGATGTATTCAATTCATTCTATTTTCAACAAAAAATACTGAGTGTTTTGCTTTTACGAATTACATTTGATTATTGTAAAATTGCGTCTTATTAGGCTTGTTTTACTGTAATTACATCAAATGTAAGAGAAGTGCGAATGAAAGACGAGATGACAATCTCAACTGTTAGAGCTAAAGAGAAGAAGTATGTACAAGGAGTCGATTGATAATATGTCGTGGGCAGCACGAATACGTAGGCAAATGAATGAATCGTCTTAATAATATGTTTGGTAACGCAGATAGAACAATACAATTTAATATTGTATACCAACATGAAATTTTGGTTACAATTCTACATAGCTTATACATATTTTTCCTCTTTTGGATAGGGTAGGTTTATATCAAATTTCATTCTAGTGAAAGTTTACAGTTTTTGACACATTTTTTTTTAAAGAAAAATAATTTTATTGTGGAATGCATGGTTGAAATTGGGATAAAGTTGTGGATGTAATAGAATGTGTGGTTGAAAATAACTTTTTTTTTTAAAAAATAATAATAATTTTTAAACATTTATGCCAGACAAGGCACATTAAGCATACATAGGTAAGCTACCTTAGAAACCAAGAAATAGTACCATGTGGACCATTATCTAATAAAACTCAGATGAGTAAGGTAAGTTTTATAAGGTTTGATTTGGTATTTTTGTGTTTTAAGATAATTAGGGGATGTTTTTTTCGTATTTCAGTTTTTAGTTTTGAGTTTTGAATATCCATTTTGAGATTGTTGAAAACACGTTCTTTTTATCATTTTGAAAATTGTTTTCAAAAATAAAAAAGTGAAGTTTTGGCCTGGTTTTACCTGAAAACAACCAAAATAAATTTTTTGACGTTTTCCATTTTCTTCGTAAATTTTAAACTTGTTTTTGAAATTTTGATTTTGAAACTAGGTAAGTAAACGTGTTTTCAGTGGTTTCGAAAACTAAAAACTGAAAATGACATGAAAACAGCAAAGAGAACGAGCCCTTATCTTTTGATGTGTTGTAAAGAGATTAGGCTGTAGAAGAATCAATTAATTGTTTAGTAAACTTTTGTTTCAAAATTTGTATATGTTCTAAAATTAACATTTTAGTGTTCGGTAAACAAAAGTGTTTTATTAATGTGCTCGTATAAAATTACCAAACTAGACACTGATTATAATGATATCATTTTGTATTATTATTATTGATAGCATTTTAAAATTTATTTGTACTTTTATAACAATATATAGTATTGTTAAATATTTTTATAAGATCGTATATTCACTATAGTTATATTAAAATGAAAAAATATATATATCTATTAAATCTCAAAATTTATAAATTTACAAAATAAAAACATATCCCGTATAGTAGAAAAAAAAAATTAATTAAATTAACAAGAGCTGAAATTGATATTTTAATATAATAAATAATTAAATAAGTTAAAAGCAGAATCTAAAAAACTAATTTTAAAATATATTGCTAGAGGGTGCAGATTGCTCTTACACTTGCCTATCTCAAATATTTACAAGATATAAGAACAAAATCAGTTTTTAGAATTGACAAATTGGCATAAATTGTGTAGTAACAGAAATAAAAAATAAAAATTACAAAAAGATCATACAGTAATTAATGTTTAAGTTGGGTAGAGCCGAAGAGAGGACTAAGCTTTGGTGCTTTAGATGTCAAGAAAAGATACGATGACACCTACGTTCCAAGCCTACTTGATGCAGTTTGAAGCAACAGCTAAATGACAAAGAAAGAGAACGATCGAAAAATAGCTGATTTACCAAGAATATCGTGAAATATTAATTGATTCTGCGAAAGAATATCGAATATTCAATTTGATCGATAAATCATTGCTTCGTGCATGAATGCTAATTTGGATTGAAAATTGGAGAAAAAATCGTAATTATTAATATTCTATTTCAATTCAAAAACAACTAAGTGTCATTAGGGCTTACAGTACTTATTTAAAGCAATGAATAAAATCTAGATAATGACTAAATTTAAAAGATTATGAGGAAAATTTGAAAACATAATACATAAATAGAGTCTCCTAATGACTTGAAGAGCAAGAAAATAATTAAAAGATAACAAAGCTCAGGTCAGACTGTATCATTCTCTTTCAATTGGAAACGACCACAATTAATGTAGAGCCATTGTCCTATTCAGCATGCAAACATAGGCTAGACCATGTGACCAAATTGTGGTAACATTGTACAACCAAAAATTACTTGGTAACAAGATTTTGAATAAATATTGTGACCTTTAATTTAACTAAACATGTCAAGGTCACAAAACACACAATTTATGATCACAAATCATATAAGGTCAATTTGTAGGTCACAATCTTACTTTGCGGTTTTATTATGGATTATCTCTTACTCAAACAGTCAAACTTGAATTTTTTATATTCTTAATAGTATACATAATTTGTGAGATAATTGTGGGATAATAGTATTATTTTTGAAATCAACAACAAACATTAAAAACTATGGTTTTTTGTCAAAAAAAAAAATATATATTTATGGATTAGCAACAATTATCATAACATATTATCAGGAAAAAAAAATGATGAGTACATAAGCAAATCATAAAGCTGAATGGTGTGATAAACAATAATTAAGTTAATGAAATGAATGGAACTACCCCTTCCTTTTCCTTCTTACATTACATATAAATAGGAGTTCTATGTTACAGATCAAAATTGTGGTGAAGCGAAACTCAAGCTACTCTTACACTCAATTAGAAAGGAGAGCACATCAGCTTAACGCAATAAACTGAAGCTTATGCATCCTACACAATACTCATCAATCTTATCTCACACCTAATGAAAGTTTCTGATATGGTAACGGTTAAATTTTGAGAAGTATTCCTAGACCTAGGATGACCGTGGATTCCGAGTGATCCAGACAATTTCCAAACCATGCAAAAATGCCACCCCATAACATCACATGAAAGGGTGTGATTAGCCGAGAATCCAAGCCAGTACACCAGGTTTATCTGAAAAGCCTGGTACAGCAACACAATCAGGCTTCATGCATCAGATAGCACTGAATAAATGACAATCAGTAAGGAACAACATATGGAAGGGCATAAATAACAGCTGATTCTATATGCACAGCTTGAGACCATACGTGCAACTCCTCATTGACCGCAGATGATCTCACATTGCTATTTGATGGAGGATCTTTATGGGTAAACAACCATTCCTGGTCATCAACATCAGGCAACTCCATCTTGGGCACCATGAGTATCTCATTCAGATACTTGGCATCTGGATGGGAAGGTCTATTTGATGCTTCAGCAATTTGATCCTCCATCATGGATTCATAGGGTACTCCAATAACATGCTTGGAATCGGGATGGGGAGATTTCTTTGATGCTTCGACAATTTGATCTCCAAACATACTTGTAGCAGAAGGCTTAGATTTAGTTGAAATCGATTTTTGGACTTCAATTTTATCATTCACCTTCATGTCTTTGTTATCCACCATAAAATTGTTAGGAATCTCTTTCTTATCCAAGGTCGATATACAATGAATTCGTGCAGATTCGAGTTTCCTTCCATTCTCTGTCAATTGATGAGAGAGCCTCTGCAATTTATTGTGCCTGACTTCACTATCTGTGAAACAAGCAACAATAATCAGCCTATAGAAAGGTTAATCGATGTTTGAACAAGCTTGTATAATATCATTCAGAATCAAAGTAACAGTTCATCGAGGTCATAAAACCCAATGAAAGCATCTTAAGAAGCATAGTATGTTAGGCAGTGGCCCAATATGTTTCCCTGCGATTATCTTATCCATAATAACTGAAATACAATATAGCGGGAACTTTATCCCAAGTATTCCACTGAATAAGAGAACTTACCATGGAGAAAACCATTGGAATCCAAATCTTTTCTTTTCCTTGAATTTCCCTCACTAACAGCAGAACTGTTGATGCCCTCCAACATATGCGGGCTTTTATAACTGGTAACAGCGCCAGCCTCCTTCCTGCCAACATCTTTGGATATGACCTGCGTGCTTTCCTTAGTTTCACTTTTTCTCTTGGTCTTCACCTTTTTCTTCTCCCTATCCTTTTCTTTGTCAATTTTATGGCTTTTTTTATCTCTATCTCTATCCTTCTGTTTGCCATCCCGATTACTGTCACCTCTTTCCTTAGATGTCTCTTTACTTGGCAATATCCTATCATTTTGTTCCTCAGCCGGTCTGGGCATCCCTTCAACTTTACTCTTGGCCATTCCAGTAAGGTTCTGGGCAATTGAATTTCCAATGAACTCATTGCTAAATCCTTGCACGCCCATTTTTTTATTATTAACTCTCTTATCTTTGTTCTTTCCCCCGTCTTCTGCCAATATACCAGAAGAATCTCTGACAGCTGGATCTTGATCCCTTTTCTGGGTATCTGAAACTCTCCCAAGCAACTGGCTCCCTGAAGCCTTCCCATCATCTCTAATTCTCCTGTCCAACTCCTGCACAAATTTTGATTCTTCAATCCCCTGGGAGATCCAACTGTTCTGCTTAGATCTCCCCCCATTTTGACCCTGGAACTGAATAGCCCGTTTTGCTTCATCCACAAAAAAGTCATTATCATGTCCTCCTTTTGTAGGAAGTTTCTCTCCATTGTTCACCTCGAGTATCCCAGCAACTGTTGCCTCCTCCGAGATGCTGCTTTTCTCTTTCTCTTTGCCCTTGTCCTTCTTGTCCTTGTGTTTTTCTTTCCGGTCTTTCTTTACTCTGCATTTATCATCACTTCTGTCTCTCTCCTTTTTCTCTTTACCTCCTTTTCTTTCCTTCTTCTTCTTTTCCTTTTTGTGTTTTTTCTCTTTGCGCTTCTCCTGAAAATAATCGTAGATTCTAACTTGGACTATATTTTTTAAAATTTCATGGTGAATGATATCGCCAATCATAAAAATTCCTATTGCCCATATTCAAACATTTTCAATTTTTCATAGATTAATATCCAACTGCAAATCTCTGTAATCAGGAAACTTGCATAGTCTGAACTATAGATTTAACAAAACAAAGTCCTAATTAAAAATTTACATGGAAAAGAAGAGATTCGATCAAACACCCAGCCAATAAGAAAAAGAAAAAAGATCATATAATAACAGAAAAGGCAACAATTGCTGCCAGAAACGCTTTTTCCTTTCTTCGTTCATTGATGCATAACATGATAAAGAAAAAGTAATTTTGGATGTACATCTTCAATGAGAACCTCTCTAGAGAAGTGTGGAGGCAAAATAAAACACCTTAAAATCAAAAAAGCTGATGACTTGTGTGCCAAACCTTCAACCTTTTTCAATAATCAATGATGCATACAATGTATCCCAATGCTTCACTATTCACAAGTTTTGACCAAATTTGTAAACTATACTGCATACAAGACAAAAGGTAGTATATCATATAAATGAACCAAATGAAAGATAATAATGTAAAGAAATCAAACATTTTTTCATTTATCTTAAACTTTGACATTAAAGAACTGTCAAGATACACGTGGCTGAGCAGAATTTCTAGAAGGGATCAATTAAAATGTAGATATGATCAGATAGGAAAGTGATCCTATTTGCTTGAGAAATCTATTGGTTTAACTAGGAAAGGGGATAGGGAAAAAATTAAGCATGCCTTTACAATGCTTATTATTCAAAATCCAAACATACAAGGCTATCACATTTCTTTTTTCCATTTTTGATTAATGTGATAAAAGAAACTACAGTCATTTAAATTGTCTCACCAGTCTGTTGTCTTGAAAATTAGAATACATCAGGAAAAGTTTTATAAAGACCCTAAAATAAAATGTACAGGTAATTTCTAAGCAATCCCATCTACTGAGATCTTAGAATACTGATGACACGATGAAGTTATCCTACCTTTTAACCACACATTCTCCAACATGGGGGCAAAAAATAATAATAATAATTTTTCACTTGGATAAATCTCCCAAACGATGTATATAATTACACCAATCAAAAGAAGTTTGTCTCCTATGTTTTTAATCAGTCCAAATTTTCCCTCCTAGCATGTGTATGCTGTGGTACTCTTTTATACATTATCAAAAAATAACCAGACAAGTGGAGGCACAGCAAAGTAAATAAAGAAACGTGCTTTCAAAATTAAATTTAGAAGACACAGAACTCACAATTAGCTATTATCAAAAAAGAAAACTGGCCATAAATTTCCATTCTAGAACAAGAAAAAGAGAAATGCTGCTCTATGAAAAATATGCAAAAGTTTGAAGTGTGCAAGAATATGCAACTAATCGCATACACAAACTTCAGAATTTTAGATTATCCTTGCGAGCTATTTATACAGTAAATTGTTTCATTTTTTCTACATATTTGTAAATAGTAAACAGACCAACGATATTATTAACAATGTTATAAGCTGTACCCATCCCTTATATTGCTTCACATCATCATTCATAGCATTAAACGCTTGTTTGGGAAGTGTTTATTGACTATTTAAATTTAAATAGATAAAAATAATGGTGGATAAGTGGGTATCCCTTGTGGTCTCACAAAATGTATGAATAAAAATTAGTTTGACCGATAACAGTTATAAGCATTAGCCAAACATGGGCTAAGTGGGGAATTTCCGACCAAACCCAAAATATCAACAATTTCGAATGCATGAATTCCCAACTTCCTAAATAGAGCCTACAAGTTCCTCTTTAGGACTAGGCAAATATAAAGACTATAAACATGCGCTCTCTCATAGTAGACAAGATATGAATTATTGAAATTAATTTCATATTTTCATATCCTAGAAGTTTCCTATCAAATATCAATATGTTCTCCTGGAAGTCAACTTGCTTAAACATAACAAGTCCATCCATCCCATACCCTTTCCCGGAAGTTGAAGACTAAAATCATTGTAATTGATAAGGCCTTTTCCTAGAAAAGGAATCTTTTGTTGCAATAGAAGCGAAAGTGGAGGAATTTAATATATTGTAAAGAACTTGTGTAAAAGCAATATTCGACATAATTGTATAAAGCAAAACAAAAACGGAAGGAAAAATTTATTGTTAGGGACCAAACTTGATTTTCTCCGAGCTATATTATCATACGTGTAAAGCAATTTACCACAGTTAATAACTTCATTAAAATCATCAGCTAGATTAAAAAGGAATCAGAAAGAAACATAATGAAAAGGAAATACCCCTTGTGTTCTCAATAATGCAGAAGCACGACTACAATCACCACATCATCCTACAGAATTAATGACATATACAAGGGCATACATGTCGACCAGAAATCTGGGAGCAAGAAAGGGACTCCTCCCAACAAATATACAAAGTCGACTGTAGTAGCAAGAAGCTTCACTATAATGCTTTGATGCAATGATGGATCTAGCTGGTAATTCACATGACCATCTATTGAGTCCAGGTGTTTTCTAAGAATTTTATTCTTGCCTAGTTTTTGGTTTGTCTCTCAGTTCATAGGGCTCGAGAGTGTTTGAGAGCATTCACAATATTTTGCTCCAAAGCTCCATATAATTAGCCAAAGGTCGTACTTTGTGACTTCTTATTTAAGGAAATTCTAAATGTTCTAGAATGGGAACCTAGGCAACTCATTAATAAGCTTCAACGCAATGTTGAATCGAAATGGGAAGCACGTGATTGTTTTGACTTCCAATGTATTCTAAAAGTTTCTTTCTTGTACTAAGTTCAATTCTGTTTCTCAGTCTCTTAAGCTCCAGAATACTTTCAGACCGTCAACATCTGCTTAAAAGCATCATACTAGAGACCCGAAGGTCATGTCCTTGTATCTTTTTTTGGTTATTTCTGTGTTTTATAATAATCACTCAGTCAATTTAGTTGGTTTTCAAACTGGAAGTTCTTATCCTGCTAGGTTTAGAATTCCTAGTCCATACAATTTGATGCGACATTAATTTTATCCACAATCGACGAGTGTGAAATTCATGAGCATTCATTTCCACGAAGTGTGGTTCCAATTGGATTCAGGAGTGACCCAGTATCTCTCTCATTTTTTTTAGATATAATTATATTTATTTCCTCAAAACTCTTGTTTCACAACACAGTTTTCTTAGTACTCTAATTTCAAGCCTTTTGCATAGAATTGAGTTACTTGATCAACATCTCAATTGACCTAGTCCAACATGACTCTGTAAGGTCATCTTGCCATAATACCCCCAAAACGTTCTGGAAACGTAACAACAGTTTCAAGAAGCAGCTCTTAAATCCTCACTTTTTCCTTGTATCTTCTATCCTTTCAGAACCCACCCTTCTACCCCCAGCATTATTTCCGTTCCAAGCACAACCAACAACCAAAAATGATGTAAATAAATGAATGACTACTTTATAACAGTTCTTTATCTCAACAAAACCATGGCTAACCTCTTTAGAATGTTTTTACATCAGCTCAGTTGCTCAACATTCAGGCCAGCATTAATGTAGGACTTAAAATAAACATTACAATGCTACAACTGCCTGAGAACGTACTAAAACTTAACATACAGGTTGAAGCATTCATTTTATTGTAATTAACTGACTTCCCAACCAGGTATTACTGAGGGAAGTGAAAGAAAAACTGAAGAATATTATAGTGTTCATGATAGTATACGATAAAGTTATGAATAGAAAGATATGATAGTCGACTCACCATTTAATCAAGAATTAAGTCACTGATTTTTTCACTTTAATCAAGAATTAAGTCAAAATTTTAGACAGATTAATGTAGTTATCAATAAACTTAAGCAACTATACTGTAAAGTTGGCAAAACCAAGTAGGCACAACTTACACGAGGAGCATAACAGTGATAGAACTTTAAATCCATCTATACATCAAATCCAAACATATCTAGAAATAGGGGATAACTACATGAAATTCATTGAGCAAGAACAACATCACAGCAGAAAAAGAAAAAATGAACTAACCTCTTTCAGTATCTCTAAGTCTTCTTGTCTTTCCTTTCTTTCATATCCTGGTGGGGGAAACGGGAAGCAGCGAGACATTGCACAGTGCCCTAGTACATGCAAAATGATTAGAGCCAATGAGAAAATATGCTTGTCTTATTTCCACATTACAGTGTTCCAATATGGGAACAGAGTTTTGATTATATTCCTGTCCATGCACCATTACACCACATTGATTGCGAATTCACAATTGGTCCATGTAACTCATTTATCCACTGGTCCAAACACCCACGCCCACTTCTGTTCACTAACACTTCACTCTAAATCCAACAGTTACCTTCCAACGTAAAATCCTCTTAGCTCCGAAACACTAGTGTAAGTTCAAAAATCTTATCAATGCTCAATGCCAATCGAGAGCATGATATAAATAGTAACTATATGAACATTGTTTTGAGCAAACTCCAAATATAAATGCTGAATTTAAAGCTTTTGCAGCTAAACTTCCACCTAGAGACCAAGCTAATCCAAAAGGTTTCTTGAGAAAGAAAAATGGTCACTAAGAGATCTTCTAGCTAGCCTAGTAAGCCAATGGCGTCTAATTTTTATTACCTTTCACCTCCTCGGCCTCGTCAACAAAATTTACCCAAAATCAATCCCCAACTCAAACCATTTACAAAAATGAACAGTCATCTTCCATGCCCTTCATAAATGAACTTCCCAGGAAATTAGTATGCTGGAATTTATAATAGGTTTGAGAACTCACTCGCTCGTATGATCAAAACCAACTGGCAATAATTTCTTGATCAGCAAAATGTACTTCCAGGAAAGGCCACTGAAAAACTCAATATTTCCAATTGAATCCTCAATCAAACCCCCAATTCCAATGCAAAATCTGCACCTCAGCAATCTGATTAGTTCCAAAACCCTAGCTAAAATTAACCATCAGAAAACCCTAACCCACAAAAAAGGAAAAAGAAAATTCCGATTCAATTAATTAAAGACCCTTTTTGGCAAAACAAAAAGGCGAAAATAGTTACTTCTCACCTAAAGACGAAAGAAAAGAAAATGCTTTCAAACAACCAAATCCAAAAATCATCTAAATTTTAAACCCCCCCAAAAAAAAATCAAGCTTAGTGTAATATAATTAAGTTAAACTAAATTCTCACATTTAATTCTATTTTAAATTTAACATTTATTTACCTTGCTTGCCACAAAATGAAGAACATTTGTTTGAAGATCTCAGTTCTTCTTAGCACAATTTTACAAATTAAAAAAAATAAAAATAATCTAATCAGTTCCTCGCTCTCTTTTCTCTTCAATTATATACATATACATAGGATTGCTTCATTCTCGCTCCAGTGTGTGTAGATTTTTGTGCGTTGGAGAGGTTTATTTTGGTGTTACAGAACAACACGCAAAATGGACAAGGAGCAAAAATGAGGGACAGAGAATGCATATTAACGTTTTAGAGAGAGAAGGAAAGAGGAGAGAGAAAGTATATGTATATCGGTGTATATACAGACAATGCCCACGCTCGGATTGGTATTCGTTTGAGGGATTCTCTCACATAATTAACACCGGTTTGATTTATATTATTTCAAAACTCATTTTTTTCTCAAATTATTTTAAATTACACATTCTCACAATAAAATATTTTACACGTAAATTCATTTTTTTTTCTTTTTTTACAATATATTTTCCAAAATTTGCTATTAAATAACTCATTTTTATAAAATAATGGACGTCAAACGGGAGCTACATAAAATTTATTTAAGAAATTAGTGCGAAAAATAGTTTTATTTAAGAAATTATTAGAAAAAGTGAAGATAAAGAATACTTTATTTATTTCTTTTTTATTCACACTTTTCATAAGATCTATAAATAATATTTACTTATTATTTATACATTTCATAAGACACGTGGCTTATAATCGTCTAAATTTCTTGAAAAACATGGTTGTAGCGGTTCAAAGAAAAAAAATTAGAGTGACATTTTATTCGATTTTATTTTATTTTTTTATGTAGATTTACATAAAGTTAAAAATATAATACAAAATAAATTTTAAAGTAGATAAATATATAAGAATATTAGATGAAAATGACGCTTCTCATACCACATGGGGAGTTAATTAAAAGATAATTTAAAGAGTATACATTCTTCCATTTATGTTTTGGACATTTATTGCGCATGCATAAAAATCAATTTGAACATTGACTTAGAAAAATCCAAAATAATTGTAAAACATTATATGGAAACAAAAATGTCGATTATTTGCTTGTTTTAATCCCTGTTTGATGGTCATTTTTTGATAAAATAAAATTTTGTATAGAAATTTTTTGAGAATGTATTGTTAAAAGTATGAAAAAAAATTAAAAATAAATATGAAAATTAAAGAATTTTGAAATACTGATAGTAAATTCTGATCACCACCTAAAATAGAATAGATTCTCAATTTTGTCGGTTGAGTTGAAAACGCTTTGAGGCGCGTGAGAGTGTAGTGCAGCTTAGAAAGGAGAGTTTTGTAATGAAAACCCATTAGCATAAGCACATGTGCCAACTTCTCATTTCTACATAAACAAATTATTCAGCTCCACGTGACACCTATATGGGAATATCAACTCATATCCTTCTCACCGTGTCCAATTCTCGTACCCTTCTCCCATGAGTTAAATTCATCGGATTACGGGTCGAACTAATACGTAAAAAAAAAAATTACACTAAAAAAAATTAGTTGGGGAAGTGGGGTGTATCCGTCCCCTGGGCACTACAGTTCCAACAAAAATTTAAATCGATCATTAAACTATTTTTGTGACCCATTTAGTCATTAAAGTTGAGTAGCGTTCCATAGTTGGTCACTACATTAGCCTAATTAACCCCAATTTGACAACTATTAATTGTGGAAGACATTGTTTTAAATTGTGAATTTCTGGAAAACGTGTGATTAAAAAGTAAAGAAAAGTTTTTGATATATGTACAAAATATTTTATTATGTAAATATCAGGTTGAAAATTAGAATGTAAAAAAAAGAGTTCGAAAATAATGATTGTCAAATAGGGGCTTAATGCCATATTCAGTGTAGTACCTTCGATTGGACTAAATTATAAATATTATATATAACTATGATATGAACTAGGTGATTCACCCTAAGAACCAATCGATTCTTTGACCGTTTTAAATGGTTTTACGATTTTTTAAGTATAATTAAACCGAGTCTCGATTTTTAAGGTAAAAAAAAATATTTAGGAATTTAAAAGCAAACACTACTTCATTTTTTATATTTAGTTTTTGAAGTTACCCAAACTGTTTAACGTTATGTACCGAAATCGTCATGATTGGACATGTCTATTGTATTTACAACTCGATCAGATATTTATGTTAGCATGTCAACAATATTGTTTTTCAATCATACTACACGTACATCATGGTTGACAACAAGTTTGACATTCTTTCATGTGGCAACAATCTATGCTATTCATTTTGAATTAAACTACTTGTACAATAAATTTGCACAATAATTTTGACAATGTGTGAGGTGTATTGATCATTGTCATTGAATTAAAAAACAATCTTTCACATAATGCCTGCCAACTCACATATTGTCAAACTTATTATCAAATTCGTTGTACAAGTAGCATAGTTCATCTACATAATGTCTGCCAACTCACACATTATCCACCTTATTGTCAAATTCATTGTACAAGTAGCATGATTCATTGATTTTAAACACAATCATCACATTACTATCCAAATTCCTTCCATCTAGGTGATGTTATCATTGGTGTCAACCAAAAATGTACGTTTAGCTTAATTTATTGTTTTTAGTACTAGTAGTTTTGACAAAAGTTTTTTGTAATAATAAGAATTTTTACTTGTACTAAAGTTGAATCACACTTTTGATAGGAACTGTTTCAATACTTTGAAGTTTTACTCAATATGGGTACAATTCCAAACACCTTTTGACGAACTTGTTTTTATTTCTTAAATATAACAATTTCAGATGTTTTAGGGATTAAACTGTTTGCCTATCCACAAAACTACATTGACTTTATAACCTATCTAATTGTTCAATCAGCCACTAACACTGTAAAATTCCCTTTTTTTTTTTTTTTTTTTTTAATGAAGCCATTTATCCACATAATTCAAGCTCTACAGATATAAGACTAACTCGATTGACACTTCACCAACTAGGTCAAAAATCATTGATCTCATGTCACTTCACTAAATGTTTTCATGATCACGTGTAAAATTTGAATTTCATTACTTCAACTCTAACGAGTAAACTAAATTATGAGATATACGGAGAAACAAATCACATCCATGGAACATCCATAATTGGAGTTGGAATAAGAGGCTAGTTAGCACAAAATGTCCCTATTTTTCAATGTTTTTATGCAAAACGTTCATATATTTCGTTTTTTGACATTTTCACCTTTATATCTTGGAAAATGTCATTTTATTCACTTACCTTCAGGAACTCCGTTAACTCAACACAAAATTCTTTTCAAAAACCAAAGATAATATAGTCTTATCCGGCTTGTCTTCAATAACTCAATTGGTTTATACCAATTTCCCATTTTATTGGGACTTGCCACTTTGAAATAAAACATTTAAGTGAAAGTTAAACGTAATGTTATAACACACTAAAAATATCAAATTTTGAGCAAGAGAATCTAGTGATGGTTATTAAACTACATTCATTGGAAAACTCGCCTTAGTTTATCATTTCAAATATATAAACATATAGGAAAATTAATACAAAAATTATATTAAAAATTAGTATTGCAATTCCTTCAAGATTCCTTAGCTATTGAAAAGGCTGTTGGAATAAAATCTGTTGAAGACGAGCCTTCAGTTTGCTGTTTTGATCAACTAAATTCAGCTGGAAGCTTCAACTATATGGAGCCTTGTTTGTTGGTAGTTAATAACCGAAATGGAGCCTCATATATGTCTACTAGTTTACGCATGTGCCATGCACGTGCTACATTTTAATTGAGTATTTAATAGCGTGGAGTGATTTGAAAGCACATTAGACATAAATGAGAGTCACGAGCTTGTACACAATTGATTCCATGCAAGTGAAATAAACTATATGCTCAGAACCAAGCAGTTGAGAAACAAGTTATAATAAAGACCTTCGTTGGATTAGGCTCACTTTCAGTCCAAACTCTATACGGTCTAGGGAGGCAACAATGACAAAATAGCAAGGTAGCATGAATAATAGATTAGACTGCAATAAAATACATCAATGGAATTAATTACCTGAAAAGAAACAAAACACTTGCATTGATTTAAATACGTTAATGTTTTAACCAGAACGAAATGGATTACGCTAACAACATACTGTTTGTCAAGAAAACAGGGAATCCTCAAATTACCTGCTCACAGAAGAACAAAATCGAGTTAAAAGGGAGGAAATATATATCCAAAGGCTTGAAGCGCATATAAACCACCAAAGTCTAGTCAGTACATCCATACTACCAAACATCATGAAAGCGATCACAGAATGAAATTCGACTCTAGAAGTGCAACAAACAACAACTTGCATATGCAGCAGGCAATATAAATGTGCTAGATTCATTTCCCTGGTGTCTTCCTTCAATTATGAAATTGGTTAAAAAACAATAGTTTGTTTTTATCGATACATTGGAGCTAAAATCTAAGAAAAACTAAAATCACAATAATAAGGGCAGACATATGGTTTCAGTCCATTGCTGTATGCGCCTCTGTATTTATCAGCAAACTGAAACACCTACAAAGCAAACATAAACCCCGGATGAAATTGTTGCATTATTCATCTTGAGTATTTAATTGTTAATTAATATTTAAGTTGTACCCTAATTGCCCTTCTGGCAAGGAGCTTGGAATAAGTGGGGTCGCTTCTTTTAAAGACTAAAGAGGCGGGCTATTTCAGCTACAAGAGCTGCAGCTGTTTCAGCTGCATGCCTGGGGTATTTTTGTCTATCTTAAACACACTTCTTGGAGTGTCCATGTCCTCAGGTCTCTCCCAACAAGCATGGTCCTTCCTTGTATCCCCCACCTGCATAAATCCCCAAAAAACACTTCTTGTGTCTTAACAGAATGGCTAAGACACCCGCATGGTGCTTAGTCTAGAACACTTGGGCCATATGCTACTGATGAAATGGAAAAAAACCTTCAACAAACTTTCATCTATAATTAAAGCTCTACTGTATTTGCACTTGAAGACAATCATAAAATAGGTATGGACAAAAAAGCACAACAAACCCCATAAAATTGAGCCTACTGAGTCCGGAGAGTAAATTTCTTGTGCACTTAAAGAAGCATCCCTCCCCACCACACCGAATAACAAAAACAACACATGAAAATCAATTCGACTGTAGAGTATAAACCAGTCATCCCCAAGAAAACTACAATTTTACACCAAGAGAAGCTACAATGATGATAAGCTGAAAATGATTCCAGTAGCAAACCTTGGCTAGTGTTTAAGGAGATCAATTTTGGAGGTAAAATCGTATCATTTTCAAAGATATTGTTAAAACTTAACATG